CCCCCCCAAAAAAAATAAAAAATAAAAATAAATAAATAAATAATTAATATTTTTAATTACACACTAAACTTTTGTTTGTAATATATTATCAAAATTACATCATGATGATGTGTTGTGAAAGATAATTTATATGAGAAGTTGATAATCCGTGTTCTATTAATTAATTAAATAATTCAATTGCTATTGACGTTAAGAACTTTTTATATCATAATAAAAACATTATATTAATGTGTTCATGCCAAAAAATAATGCAAAAGATTCCTTCTAGCTCTACTATCCTTTTCCAGCCGGCTAATTTCCATTAGTAAACCCTAATTAAGCCAATTATTAATGTAAATCAAACGTCAAATGTATTCCAATGCACAAACTTATAAATAATCAACCATTTTGTCACCGGAATAAGCCAGACTGCTAGGGGAAAATTCCACAGGGCAGCTACAGGTCTCTCACAAACAGGTTGTTCCCACTCCCACCCCAAAAATCATGGGACCCACCTGTTTGTGTGAGTCTGTAAAAATGTAGCTCTCTCACAAACAGATTGTTCCCACTCCCACCCCAAAAATCATGGGACCCACTTGTTTGTGTGAATCTGTAAAAAACCTGTGAAATTTTCCCCAGGTAATGTAGCATTTCTCTTCGTTACCTAGTCGATGTAGTGGACCAAAGTTGGTCATGCCTCCATCACCGTTATTTTTAATCATTTACATCATTCATGAGGGGATCCGACGCACCCACCTCCCAAAAGGCACCCCATTCTCGACACCTCGACAACACCACGTTAGCGACAACGAGGATTGCTACTCAAAATTGATGGGTTATTAGTGGATTTATTATATGTTTATAATATTCCATTATTCAATAATTGTTAATTTATAATTTACGAGCTCTCGTTATATTAATATGTTTAGAACGTTAAATTAAAAAAAGCAGTATACAAAATGTTGTTCATTATCTTATTTACTTTTGTTTGATCTACTACGAATTCGTTGTCTTATTTAATTTTATTCGATCCGCTATGAATATTCCTAAAAATGGATGTGTGTGTGTGTGGTAAAAACAATCATGAATTTTGGAGCGACACTTAGTTCTGAATATTTGTTTTATTTTCTATTTCATCATAACTTGTCCAATTGGTCGATCAATAACATTCTTGTAACATTGTACAATAAAACACACATACTTATCTGGAAAAATCAATAGGAAAATAAAAAAAAGTTTAGGATAATAATTCTACCTAGGATAGAGTATTAATTCATTCCTTTTATCTTGTAAAATGGCAAAAGCATATTCTGGAAATAAATAAATTCCAATGTTATTATATTTGACTATTTGTGTATTCTCTCTCTCTATATATGTGACAAAGAAAGTTTTGCTTGTGTCATCAGAAAAAAATTGTTCAATATACTTGTCATCAAGAAAATTTTCTTGAGCTCTTCTTTCCGATCATCAAAATGCCTGGAATCGCTTTCGGAAGATTTGACGATTCATTTACCATTGGTTCATGAAGGCCTATGTGGCTGAATTCATATCCACCTTGCTCTTCGTCTTCACCTAATTGGGCTCCACCATTGCTTATAGTTAGTACTAAAACCACTCTCTTATTTTTCACAGCCTATATTTGCGTGCATGAAAACTATAGTAAGTGCGATATATAATATGCTGATATTTAGTAACATTTTGATAGTTGATAGATAAGTTGGCGGCGGACGCGGCCCTTGATCCAGCAGGGTTGGTGGCGTTGCTGTTTGCCATGGTTTCGCCCTGTTTGTAGCTGTCTCGGTCGGAACCAACATCTCCGACGGCCATGTAAACCCTGCAGTCACCTTTGGTTTGGCTCTTGACAGCCAAATTACACTTCTTAATGGCATTTTTTTATTGGATTGCTCAACTTTTGGCTCCATTGTGGCATGCTTTTTGCTTGTAGTTGTCACCGGAGGATTGGTAAGTTCAATTGTAATTGAAAATGCAAAATTTACATGTTTAGTAAGTTAGATTGGCCACTGTTTCTAATAGTCAAGTCTTGATCTTTGTCGTCAAACTGGCTGAAAAATCCAAACACGATATTAAACACAAGATGCTAAGGATCGATTTATAGCAGAGATCAAAACTTGAAGAAAAATAAAACTGAACACCGAGGAATTTTTTGGTCAAAGCCCCGGAGGTTCAGTAACCATTTTAATACCTAGTCCCCTGTTGAGCATCCATTCAAGAACGGATATTGCTCAGTTGCACTATAATGCCTTAAACTGGCAACGAAGGATACAAACGTTTAGCCAATACAAGAATACAATATAAGAGACTTATCTCTTCACAAAGAACCAACAAATCTGGCTCGAATCACACAAGAAACTGCAGATCTGACTTCACGAACCCAAAACACTAGTTCTCACAATTATTACAGATTTCACACAAGAAATCACATGTATTCAAGACTAAACTCTCAAAAATATCATTTCGAATGAGAGGTTCAAAATAATGGCGAATCAGAAAACCCTAGCCACTCACAGAAGATGAACCCTCTCGAAAATGAAAAGCCAGAAGAAATATCTCAAGCCAAACAAATCGTCTAAGGGTAATTATATCACCAAGACCAATTGACTCATCCAACGGTTCATGATGTGCCAAGTGTCAGCATCCAGTGTAAAGATCACTTTATAAAATTGCATTTACATAAAACGTCTTTAGCTAAAAATTATGGGAGCACAAAAAATCGGGTTCAAGTCACAACAATCTCCACTTTGCTACCATAGTTTTCAGGTCATAGTGTAGCCCGGAGCATATCACATTCTCTTGTTTCATACGCTCCAAAAGTACTTGTTAAAAAAAATTACAATGTATAAATAGATAATGTCTTTAGACAGTTTTTAAACTTGTTTAAAGGTATTATCTTGGTCCACATATCAGAAGGATTAACCTGAGTAGCAACCTTCCCAATTTTCAAAATTCCTTTTGAAATTATATCCCTTATAAAATGATATTTGACATTTATGTGTTTAGTTCTATCATGATACCTGGGGTTTTTAATTAGATGTATGGCACTTTGGTTATCTGAATATAAAGTTGCATTTTCATCAACAAAACCAAGTTCCTTTAGTAATCCACTTAGC